CTCGGCTGTGGCTGTCGTTAGCACAGCACATCACAGCTAGCGAGACAGCGGGATTAAAACTGAGCACGGTGGAGATTTTTAGCTCGCAGGCTAGCGCCGTGTGTCAGTCTCCGCTCCCTCTGTCTAACTCTGCGTTTTTAATTCGCAGATACAGCACTTGGGAACCGGAGGAAAATATTCTGGACTCCCGCCTGTTCGCCGCTTTTGAACAGAGGTAAGATGTCTGTGTGGCCTTTCTGGGCAGAGCCAGTGAGTGTTCGGTAACTGTACGCTGTCCTCGGTGCACTTTGCTCCCGTGACACTCAAAATGGGTGTCTGGTTTTTCACAGGGAGCGTGAAAGGGAGCTCTACGGGCCCAAAAAGAGAGGACCAAAACCCAAGACGTTTCTGCTTAAGGTAAAGCTGGCAGCTTGCTTTATTTTTTTATTGCGTGTCTCTAATAAAGCCCCAACAAACCCTTCCTGCGCTCTCTTCACTTCTGTAGATTGTGGCTTCTTAATTTTTTTCTTTGAGTGCATTAGTGAATGAGCAGGTTAAATATGCTAATTATGCATAATTAGGACAGCCTACCCATGAATGGGAGTGTATTCAGTTTGTTTATTGCCTAATGGGGATGTATTGACATGCTAAAACGGGCTTTGACTACCTAAAGACAGGGGTGTCAAACAAGCGGCCCCATAGGGCCAGAAGCACATCGCAAAAGGTGTCCCATCAGGGGGGCTTTTTTCAACTGGGGAAATTGAACTGTTAATTTTGTGGTGATACCAGGCATTAGAATATATATGATAAAATAATTTCTAGGTCCTGACAAATGGGTTGACCCAGAGAGTTTGGCATGTATCTGGTTATTTCTGCTTCTCTAAATGAAGAGAAAAATCAGATATTATGCAGCTGTTTTAATGGACTATAGCTTACATAAGGACTCTTTGTGTCCTGTTAAATAAAATGTGTTTAACAAACAGCCAGGCTGTTTTTCCATCTTCTTTTTTTTTACACGCTCTGGGTCTGTTGTCTCTTTATTAAAGCCACTTTTAAAGCAAAAATGGAAAAGCTCCAGGTGGCATGTAATAAATTAGAATTCAGGAATGTTTAAGTTCTCCAATTTTGTAGATCAGTAATAAAAAAAAATCTCACTTGAATTTTAATGTACAAATTTATTTGCCTCTAAAATATAGTTGTAAGAACTATAAAACTACTCTACTTTAAAGGACATGAGGTGTTTTTCTTTTCTTGAACACATGCCGTTTATGCATTTGTTGTCCCTGTTGTGTAATTTATAAATAGATTAAAAAATATAAAACAAATAGTTTATATACTGAAATGGATATGTGTCTGAAATAAATTATTTAATTAAAATTTTATGATTACATGTTATTTTCCAATGAGCTGAGGAAAACATCACGGCCTGATGCTTCATCTGTTCAGAGCGGTGAACCGTGAAAATTGCTTAATGAGCGGCAGTTTGTCTTGAACAAAATGCCAGAGTCTCCACTGACAGGGCTCGTTTAAAGGGGATTGGTAGAAGTTGAGTAATAAACATGGTGCCCTGAAACTAGTTATTGCTGTGAATTATTGATGTAAGATTAATATCCACTCTTTCGATAGTTAGTTTATTAGCAGTCCAATATGACAGGTGTAGGTAGAAGCAATCAATAGGCTGTTTAAATTACATTTTACAAATTAATAGAAAAAGCAGACGATAAAAGAATGAATGAATCCCTTTTAACTGATTCAGTTTGATGTTCGCTATGAAAAATGGTGTCATTTTCTTAAAATACTAATTTCAAAAATTTTCTGATAGGCTCAGGCAAAGGTGAAGTCCAAGTCCTATGACTTCAGGAGCGAAGCAGTCCGAGGAATGCGCGTCACCTACCCGACCCCAGAACCGATTGCCACCCCCAGGGCCAGAGAGGGCCTGAGAGCTGTCGTGCCCACCATCTTCCCACCGAGTACCGTCAACCGTGGAGAAAGCGTACGCGTCCGACCGCCTGAACTGAGCCCTCGTGAGCACCAGCAGTCTTTGCTTCATACTAGTTCAGAAGACCTCATCCACATACCTAAAAAGAGAGGTCCCAAGCCTAAGCCGCGGTTTAATGAGGTCTTCTCTGAGCACCATAAAAGGAGAGGGGAGGAGCAGGAGAGCCACGGCCCTCACAAACTGGCTAAGCTCCAGGGGGGCGAAGACATGAGGCTGGTCAAACTGGCCCACAGACATCCAGAGAACCACGGCCACAGCCATAAACATCATTACCACCACCATCACCACCACCATCACCACACACAGCGCTCTGGGGAGAGCTCCTACAAACAGCTGTACTCAGACCGCGGCCTGCATCCTCACAGAACAGACATGGACACTCACAGAATAAAGGACGTCTCCGCCTACCTGGTACCTGCACACTTCAAGCACCACTCCAAAATGAGTCTGAGTCGTCCCGCCGAGCTCCCCCAAATGGAAAAGCCTTATTTTCTGGACAGGCCGTCCCCAACGCGGCTCGACGACGATTTGGACGAAGTGACGTGGAGGCCGTCTCTCGGCAACGTGGAGAAGGTCCTGGTGACAGACGTGACCACCAACTTCCTGACGGTCACCATCAAGGAGAGCAGCACTTCTAAAGGCTTCTTCAAGGACAAAAGATGACTGACTGATGCTCTGTTTTCTGACTTTCAGCAGATCTGAAGTTTATAGGACATGGTGGGATTATCAAGCAACGCAGATTTTGTATGTAATGTAAAAAGGCAAATAACATAATGTGCATATGTGTATATAATATAAAGCTGGACATCTATTTAATGTATTGACCAAATCAAATGAAGTCCCTTTCACATTGTGCAATGGTTAACATGAGTTGCATGTTTCCTTTGCAGCGAGTGGCTACTTTCTGTACAGACCTTGTGACTTTTACTATTTTGCATTTAAAACTAACAAGAATGTATTTTTTCCACGTTTCTTCCCACCTGAGCTGTGCAGCGAGGATATTTAATCCAGGTTGTGGTCTGAATAATTCTCTTTATTTGAACTGATTTGACTGAAAGGTTTCGCTTGATTTCAAATCCTGGAATAATATTTAAAAATTAACTCAAGCACTTTGAATTTAAAAGTATTAGAAAAAAATCTTTATGTTGTCTTCAAAGACCGAGTTTGCCTCGGAGATTTCTAAAACCTAAAGTAAATTAACAAATTCAACACACTCTCTGAAGTTTTCCCAAAGTTAATATAACATTTTCCATTAACATAGTTCCTATATTTTACATTTTCATAGAAAAACGATCATACAGCTTTGTTGTAACTGACAAAAAAGAGGTTGTTGTCAAACTGCTTTTTAGACGCTTTTCAATAAATCATTTGAATTTCTCATTTCTTTGTGTTGTTTTTAAACCATCGTCAGCCCTCCGGGTTCCGCTTAGATCCATCAATTAGACCCGACAAACGACTTAACCGCCGGGCTTAGTTTTATATTCCCCACATATAATAATATCTCTCGATTTCAACGCGTTGTTTAATATTTATTTATTTATTGAAATTTCTGCAAAGTTGCGCCAAAAGTTAAAGGCCTCGGGCTCATCACCCAGCCCGGCTCGCACAGTCCTGCGGGAGGCCTACATGATTCTCCCTCCAGAGTTGCAACAGCACAAATTTCTCCCCCCTCTGGTCAATAAAAGTCCGTGAATCTGCTTTCATTGTTTAATTTTTGTTTGCGTCGTGACTCTACATGGCTGCATGACCGCTTAGTTTTATTACTAAAAAAAAGAAAAAGAAAACGATTGAAATGACCAAATGCAGACAGTCATTCCAATAATTATTCCATTTTTATTCAAGGTATATTTAAAAGCAAACACATTTTTAATGTTTTTGATTGATTTCATGATATTTTCTGTGTATGCGATTGCGCCAGGACAGGCCTCAGACAACAGCCTCAGAGTGCGGTGAAAAATGAGAAACGGGTAAATTGTTCCGCATGCAGGTGCACACATTTCACAGCAATATAAAGCGGGGCTCTGCTTTATTCATCCGCGACACAGGCCTACTCACATGTGGACCGATCGCGGGTTCTACGGCGTTCATACTGTACAGATTGGAGCGCTTCAATCACCGCACGTGTGTGGCGTAAAATCAGGAGCGACGCGGTCAGACAGGAAAACGGGTGAGGTCATTAACAATCAATTTTATCGGTTTTTAGAATAAAATAATAATAAAACATACATATGTCGCCTATAAAAATATGACAAAAACAAACCCTCTTTAGCTTCATTCGTAATTTCTGTACGTAAACAGACTGGGGGGCGAATACAGCAGGCCTGTATATGTCCTCCACATGATGCGGGTGGTGCAGTGGCTGATGTGGGTTCAAACTTTCTGAACGACTGTCTGTGGAGTTTGTGTTCTCTCAAAGCCCGAGGACATGCGCGTTAGGTTAACTGGTCATTCTGAGGTGTCACAGTGGTGACCTGTTCACGGCGTGCGCCTCCCTTCGCCCTGCGTCAGGTGAACGATGGTGCACTTTCAACGTTTGCTTGTGTTCAATTTTCTGTCAGCTACAAGTGTGGACTGCCGTCTTGCGCGCGCACGTTTTGTCCCACATTTAGTTTTATGCATCCGGTCAGCCAGTTTATCCAAGTTTGAAATCCGGTAATTATCACACAAATATACTTTATCAGAACAGCAAAATCCTTCGTGTTTGTTTCATTTCCCCAAAAACGAAATAAAATGTTTCTTAGAGCTTTTGTAAAGCAAAGCGTGAGGACGGGGGGAAAGGTGTGTGAAGGGGGCGTTTAGACGCACGAACACGGCTAAGGAAAAAACATTCTGGCCTGCCTCCGCTTCAAGGTGTTAAGCAGAGAAAAAAACGCCATCTAATATGCAAATAACTTGAGGCGCTAAAACTTTTATGTCACTGAAACCAGAATCCAGTCGACTGTCTTCAGAAAAAAGGAAATGATTAAGATCTGCATGCAGGTCTGCAGTCTCGCTCTTATTCAAACAAATAAATACAACTTTATTGGAGCTTATGATTTATTTTATTTTATTCTATTCATTAACAAATTTCAGTCTGTGCAGCTACAGAAATAAAGGCGTAAAGGAGCAAATTACAAAGAATTCACTCTAGAAATAATACAACACATGCATATTTTGGTCATTAGATTGAAAGATAATGAGAAAAGAGACTCCAGCTTCAGTCCACGGTCAGTCAGTCACAGCAGGCCTTTTACTGCAGAGAGAGAAAACAAATTCAGATTAAAAACAAGTTTGTCAGTGTAGTTAAAAAAAATAAATTCTATATCCCCTTAAATCCATATGTACTGTGAAGTGAGGCACAAATCAGTCTTAATATTCATATTAACATCTAATATTCAGGTATAGTTTTAGATTCAAGCAGGCCACCAAACTTGGTTTACTATCTTTATGACCAAACCACATGGACATCACTTCACCCTTAACTGAAACTTTATCACAGGGAACTCAGATCCTCTTTCATGTCAAAGTGACACTTTGGCGTTATCACAATTTAACTCAGAACTGGCGAATAAGCCTGATTTTGTCATTCTTAACCACTGATAGTGAGCCAGTTTGACTTTTGAAAAGAGTTAAGCAAGAAAACTAATAGTGTTCAAAGAAAAGAGCCCTGGCTGTGAGATATTTTCTCACAGCTTTCTGAGGTTTCCTGTTGTGCCAAACAGTCTTGATAAAATCGCAAAAAACAGGAAGAGCACTAACACAACAGCAGAGACAAACTTCCAATACAGAAACAAGTCATTCAGTTCAAAAGAGACAAGGGCTTTAGCCATCAGGGAATAAAAGGTGTCTAAAAAGGTGACTGAGATGAAAACTGAGGGGTCTGTTGCTGTGTAGATGCACTGTGCTGTAGTCACTCATGAATAGTTTGCAGTTGGGGTTAGAAGTGAAAGTTGAGACTTCGGGCGACTTTTGCCACCTTTTAAACCGGGTGTCCATAGTTTCTGTCGCAGCGTGGGTAGCAGTGAGGGTTCAGCCAGTGCTCCAAGTTGGTCTCCCGGGCCCTCCGATCCAGAGCCTGCATGTGGAGCAGATGCTCCTGCAGGGAGAAGATTGACATCATTGAATAAGACGAACCAAAAGACAGATGAGTGCACACTGAAAGAAACAACGAAAGAAAAATGCTGGAGCTCATTTTGCAAACTGAAACACAGCACAACATAAAGTGACAGAGATGAGTAAACCGAGGGTGATATCACGTGTCCTGTACAGAGCTGGGGGATGTAATAAAAGCAGTGCACGTGCTTTCAGAGAGATTACTTTAAGAAGCTCAGGTACTGACAGGAACCGACAAGCTCAGAGTCTCAGCTGTAACCTGTAAATTAGATTAGGTGACTCGGACCTTTGTGTCCGTGCTCTCTTTGTCCCACAGAGAAAGGGTCAAAGGTTTTTGTTGTTTTTCTTTTACAGGTACCATATGTATTAAATAATATGTAATGACACAGTTTATTATAAATATACACATAGAATATATTCTGAAAAATGATCCTAGGTAAAATTCCCTTTAATTATACAATAGATGGAATTATATTGTATTTATTTGTTATATTTTATTTAATTTTCATTTGTTTGTTTTTTTACCTTATTTTAATTTTTTTTAACATATATATTTTTCTTGTCCCACTTGACCTTTTTTGACCTTATTTTAATTTTGCATGTGATTTAACGCAGGAAGAGTCACTAAATTACACTAAACAAACAAAGACTAATAAAATGAGGTGAACTCAAAAGTATTTGCAATGTACAAAAATTCTAAAAATTCATTCATAAAAACACTCACAAAGCTTTAACGTTTACCATCTCTAAGCAGACTATAAACAATAATAATAATAAATGTTTTATAAAATATTGTAACACGCTTTAAATGTTCTCTGAAGGTCTATGAATGTTTTAAAAATACTGCCTTTGCAAAGCTCCTCACCTGAGTCAGTGCTGACTGGTCTAGAAACAAAGTGATAAGACAGATTTGCTTATGCTTTTATATCTTCAACTTAAAACTGTTTAACCCGCATAAATGTGATTAAACACTATAACTAAAAGCTTTAAAACACACACAGAATGAATTCATTATATGGACGAGTGACATGAGCAGGACTCAAATTTACCAGAAAAACCAAAATTTAAATTGCTTGCAGCACTTACACTGTGTTGCAATGTTCGGCTTTTATCCTGCTGACAAACAGGACAGCACAAACTGTGGCAACAGAGCTGAAGAGGTTCAATACTCTTGGTTAAATCTGTGCTTTTTCCAATATACTAACTGTGCTCTTTGCTCTGAGTGGACCTTACCCTCATTGGCTCATCGGGGTAGCCAGCCTTCATTGGCCGGTCCTGCCTCTTGGTACGGAGCAGCTGCTTAGCTACGCTCTCCTTGATTATGGGGTTTGCATCTAAAGGGAAAAAAATGTAAAGATAAGAGTTTGGAAGTAAACGTTTACTTACGTTGACTTCTTTCGGTGCTGTAGAAGAAGGTTTAGCAGGTTAGGATAAGACTGTTTTGCTCTTGCCTTGTAGATGTGAGTCAGTGTTTGTGTTTTGGCAGCTTTCTCTGTTTTTGCTTATTCTTAGACTCAGGAACTAAAACTGCCTGCTTTGAATTTAACCTCTGCCTGAGATATCTTGTTTGTGACATCTGTTTTCTTGGCAGCTAAGTTGTGGTCAATAAGAATAGCATTCCTCTCACTGAAAGCTGTACTCAGGCCCATAAATAAAACTCTCACACTATTTGCTGCTCGTGAGCTGTGGCTGGCCTGATCTATTTAGCTAGTGTCTATGTGAGGCTGTTTATTCCCCAGTGGCAGGCGCACGCGCACACACACACACACACACACACACACACACACACACACACACCAGTGAGGGCTCTCTGTCTCCCTCTCTCTCTAAGCCCGGGCCTGCATTAGGAAGCAGGGTATTTGGTGGAAGGTAACAAAGTGCCCATTCAGCCCCCTCGCTCCCCAGGGAGTCGAGCCCATGCAGCATGTTACCCCAGCAGGCTTTCTGTTCCTCTCCTGCCACAGGGAGCTGCTGTGAAACTCTGTCAACACAGGCCTGAGCTGCTGGTGCTGCCTGGAGCCTCAGAGCAACGTGGCAAAAATACTCACGGTGTACGTCCACCTGTGGATTGCCACAAAAATAAACCATCCTGATGACATGAAAGTCTTCTGGCTTAAATCAGGCCAAAAGTAAATTGTTATAAAATACAACAGTGTTTCAAAAAGATTGGGCTAAAAATACAAATAAAGATCTTCTGCACATCTATGTAAATATTTCTACCACAACAAAAGGAAGGTGCAGCAAACTACCCTTAAAATAACCTATTCTTACCACAATGGTATGCATTACTCTTCAACGTCTAAGGATATAACTACACCAGCTCCCTCACAATTGCAAAAAACAAGACGCAGAGCACCTGAAAAGGTGTTCTGATGTGACAGGTCACTGTCCTCCATGTGTCAATTCCCTGAGAATTTCCTACCTGTGTAAATGGTCAGCAGGACCACGCAAAGCAAAAACACCACCAGCTTCTTCATCTTTTTCTTTTTCGCCCTTTTCCTGCCTGAGCCCTCTCAACTCTGAGGTCCTGACCAGAGTCCAGAGGGGGTGAAAAGAGGAGATCCTCCTCCTCCTCTGCTTCCTCCTTGACTCTGGCCACAACACACTGCCTCAGACTACCAAGGTTTCAAATAAACTGTAAATATTAGTGACACATTAGCACATGTAAAGATATATAGTTTACCAATTAATGCTTTAAAGGTGAACAGTTCCTGTGAATAACTAACTAATTTACAGCTCCTTATTTTTATTATTGTACCCTAACAGTGTCGTTTTGCATGATTGAGTGTTAAAAATTATCCATATTATCGTATGCTGAGCTTTTTGTAGACCCCATCAGTTCCTCCTCTTTCTGAAACAAGCTGCTTTAGATCCTCCCCCTTTAAGACAAATTTGTTATGATCAGTTGATCCATGTAAACAGAAGATTTGCACGCCAGCTGGGCGGAGCTTCTGTATCCTCTCAGTGACATCATATAGAGCAAAAAGTAGAAAAAGCAGTCTGAAACCACCAAATACCTGTAGAGATGAGGCACGTCAGCTGTATGGGACAAACAAGATCCAGGCTATAAACAAAAGCAAAACAATCCTACCAGTGGCTGCTCTGAAAGACAGCACAGAGGCACTAATCACAGCAGCACAGGAACAAGCTCTGAGCACAAGATCCATAGAGGCTGGGGTCTAGCTCACAGATACAGACAGACAAACTGGTGATGGCTAACCAACCGGACATAGTAGTAGTGGACAAGCAGAGGAAAACGACCATAGCAGAAGTACCAAGGACGGAGAGAGAGCTGGAGAAGATGTGGAGGGTGAAGGCAACAGTGGTCCCAGTGGTAATCGGAGTGCTCAGTGCAGTGACCCCCAAGCTGGGCTAGTGGCTTCAGCAGATCCCAGGAACAACATCCGAGCTCTCTGTCCAGAAGAACGCAGTCCTAGGAACAGCAAAGATGTAAAAACAAGGAAAAGCAGAATAAGTCTATTTCAATGTATTAAACGTAGGTGTTAGGTTAGGTTGCAGGTAAAAGTCTGTCCACTAGATGGTGCTGCAAGCATAGTCATATGCATAGTTATAGTCTTGTTTTTAGATGCTCTTATATTTTTATGTCATACCAGCTGTGCACCCCATTCATAATGTAATATTTACATGTATCCGTCTGTTAACTACGTTTTATTTTCCCCTTTCTTTCTGCCTTTTTTCTTACAAAAAAAAATGTTTGTACACTCAGAAAAATAAAGGTGCCAACTGGAACCAAAAGTGGTTCTTTAGACTGATGCCATAGAAGAACCTTTTTTGGTGCCACAAAGAACCTTTCAAACAATGGTTCTTTGAAGAACCATTTCTTTCAGTGGTTCATTGAAGAACCTTTAAAGGTGCCCCACAGAACCATCAAGAAATGGTTCTTTGGGGCACCTTTAATGGTTTTTCAAAGAACCTTTTTAAAAATGGTTCTTTAAAGAACCATTTTTAAAAAGGTCCTTCAAATGGTTCTTTAAAAGAACCATTTTAAAGAACCTTTTTGAGTGGTTCTTTAAAGAACCATTTTAAATCTTTCAAAATAAAATGCATCATAAATTGAATTTGAGTAGGGTAAAAATAAATACGAGCACAGCATAGACATATATTAATGGTTTATTGTCATTTTGTAGTATACCAAAAGACAAAAAGGCATTTTAACCCTCAGCACAACATCACTACTAATACATGTCACATATTAGTGTTTTAAACAGTAATAATTAAATATATTTGCTATACTATAAATAAATATATATATGAATACTATAGCTACAGATAACACAACAATACATGTATTGTTTAATTAATAAAACATCAGAAAGTGATAAAACACATTAGAAATAGCAATAGCTTCATAACAGACCAATAAATCAACACATTTTCATCAGCAGATGTTTGCATGTTCAGTAACAATATTTCAACAAGTTTATGATTAAAATGATCAATGAACTTTAGCATTACGCTATGTAATGTACATTTCATGTTGTACTCATGGTCCTTTGTTAGTCCAGTTTAGGATAATGTCTCTGACGTATGTTTCATATCAAATACAGGGAGTGCAGAATTATTAGGCAAATGAGTATTTAGTCCACATCATCCTCTTCATACATGTTGTCTTACTCCAAGCTGTATAGGCTCGAAAGCCAACTACCAATTAAGCATATTAGGTGATGTGCATCTCTGTAATGAGAAGGGGTGTGGTCTAATGACATCAACACCCTATATCAGGTGTGCATAATTATTAGGCAACGTCCTTTCCTTTGGCAAAATGGGTCAAAAGAAGGACTTGACAGGCTCAGAAAAGTCAAAAATAGTGAGATATCTTGCAGAGGGATGCAGCAGTCTCAAAATTGCAAAGCTTCTGAAGCGTGATCATCGAACAATCAAGCGTTTCATTCAAAATAGTCAACAGGGTCGCAAGAAGCGTGTGGAAAAACCAAGGCGCCAAATAACTGCCCATGAACTGAGAAAAGTCAAGCGTGCAGCTGCCAAGATGCCACTTGCCACCAGTTTGGCCATATTTCAGAGCTGCAACATCACTGGAGTGCCCAAAAGCACAAGGTGTGCAATACTCAGAGACATGGCCAAGGCTGAAAGACGACCACCACTGAACAAGACACACAAGCTGAAACATCAAGACTGGGCCAAGAAATATCTCAAGACTGACTAAGGTTTTATGGACTGATGAAATGAGAGTGAGTCTTGATGGGCCAGATGGATGGGCCCGTGGCTGGATTGGTAAAGGGCAGAGAGCTCCAGTCCGACTCAGACGCCAGCAAGGTGGAGGTGGAGTACTGGTTTGGGCTGGTATCATCAAAGAGGAGCTTGTGGGGCCTTTTCGGGTTGAGGATGGAGTCAAGCTCAACTCCCAGTCCTACTGCCAGTTTCTGGAAGACACCTTCTTCAAGCAGTGGTACAGGAAGAAGTCTGCATCCTTCAAGAAAAACATGATTTTCATGCAGGACAATGCTCCATCACACGCGTCCAAGTACTCCACAGCGTGGCTGGCAAGAAAGGGTATAAAAGAAGAAAAACTAATGACATGGCCTCCTTGTTCACCTGATCTGAACCCCATTGAGAACCTGTGGTCCATCATCAAATGTGAGATTTACAAGGAGGGAAAACAGTACACCTCTCTGAACAGTGTCTGGGAGGCTGTGGTTGCTGCTGCACGCAATGTTGATGGTGAACAGATCAAAACACTGACAGAATCCATGGATGGCAGGCTTTTGAGTGTCCTTGCAAAGAAAGGTGGCTATATTGGTCGCTGATTTGTTTTTGTTTTGTTTTTGAATGTCAGAAATGTATATTTGTGAATGTGGAGATGTTATATTGGTTTCACTGGTAAAAATAAATCATTGAAATGGGTATATATTTGTTTTTTGTTAAGTTGCCTAATAATTATGCACAGTAATAGTCACCTGCACACACAGATATCCCCCTAAAACAGCTAAAACTAAAAACAAACTAAAACTACTTCCAAAAACATTCAGCTTTGATATTAATGAGTTTTTTGGGTTCATTGAGAACATGGTTGTTGTTCAATAATAAAATTATTCCTCAAAAATACAACTTGCCTAATAATTCTGCACTCCCTGTATATGTCATATCAAAACAAACCCACACCTGCAGTTGTTTCAGTTTTTCACTGGCGTTTCCTGTCAGCTGGTCAACCTCACTCAGGCGGACATCCATATCAGCCAAACAAACGACAAGTTCCTCCCTTTGTGCTTCAAATCCCTCCCACTCTGAGACAAGGAGCTGAAAGAGAGAGAAAAGAGTCAATTATAAAGAAGAGAAAAGTGAAACCCTCCTCAGAAGGTCTGACTCGCATACCTGCAGTTGACCTGTGATGGACTCCAGTTTGGCGTTCACGTCATCCCTCGCCGATGCCAACAGCCGAGTCTGCCCAGGTGCCCTGGAAGAGCTGAGTTAATGTTCCACTCCTCCTGGTCAGGCTCTCCAGCTGGATGAGCCGAGATCTCCCCTCTCGCCGCTGCCTCTGAACACAGAAACACAAATTGCATCTGAAGCAGGAGGTGCAGATTTTTTTGCTATTCTTTTCTAAATGCAGGCTAGATCAAGTGGAGGTATTTGGAAAACTTTTTGGCCAGTGGACGACTGTTGTCTTGCAGAAAGTCAAATCAAACATATGCGATACACAATCAATTCACAAGAACACATTATAAAAAATAAGTCCAGTTCTTGCCTGATTTCAAGTGAATTCTGCATCAAAACAGGGTGACAGAAGTAAAACGAGAGCACAAAGCTTCACTTTGTACAAGCCTGCTATTACAGTTCTCCTCTATGCAGACGACTTTCCTGTTTTCAAGGCACAACTTGGATCTGCTGTACGAATCTTATGGATACACACTAAATGAAACAATAGTGTGCATGACTCCAGATTCTGATCCCTCATCCTAATATGGTCCCAACATAGCAACAGCAATAAAGAAAGTGTTGAGGCTTCAAAATACAAAGTCCATAAACCAATGGCTGACATGGGTTTTATCATAAGGGTGATAAATATACAGATTTCAGTCTGTCTTAGAGATTTGATGTTCATTTACCTGCAGATGCAATAAATGTGCCTGCTCCGTGGTTTTCCACAACGTTTTGCAAACTATTTAATACAGGAAGTAAGTGAACTAAAACAGGTCATCTTTATTTGTGAGAGGACCATATTAATGAAACAAACCTCAATGACATCATAGGGAGCCCTAAAGATGCTCCTGCTGCTTCTCTTCCTCCCCATCCTAAGCTTCCTTCTCCTTGTCCTCGCCTTCCATCCAATTGTAATTCAACCTAATTGTGTTTCTCCCCCTCCTATTCCTCATTTTGTTGGAGCTGTGAACACAATTAATGTGAATCTGGATTAATTTGTGCAAACAAGAAAAATCTACAGCTTTTTGGTTAGAGGTGCTCTTGTGATTTAAGCCGGGTAGAGTAGATTTATGTGTTGATGCTACCTGCTTCAGCTCTGGCTGCTGAGTGATATTTACACCCTGGCTGGATTACAAACTTTAACCATGTGCTGAACTTTGGCCCAGCGTTGATACCTCTTGTTAGTATAACGACCTCTTCTTAGCTTGTATGTATGATGGTGGATAAATGAGATATACAAAAAAAATTAACTATATTACAAAAGAACATCTATCTTGGAAACATCAAATGACCGGAGCATAACTTGTCAACTAGTCCGAAACTAAGTTATGCAGGAACAGTCAAAGACACACCTTCTCATGTCACATTTCTATATAATTAGATTAGACAATAAAGAGTCATCTAATCTAATTATTCATTCAAACACTTATGCATAGCTGCATTTTATACAGCTCATACAGAACTCAAAGTAGAGGTTCATGTGAGTATTTAATGTACGGCTGAGATCTACAGAATTTCAGAGTTTCTAGAGCAGACACAGAGCTCACATCACAACAGGCTTCAGGCGCCATTTTAGTGACTTTAATAATATATTAAATTTTAATTTCGGTCTTGCTGACATTGGGTTATGTACGCAGCACGCAATTGAACCACATATTTTAGAAGCCAAAGGTTCAAATTAGCTGGGAGCAGCTTCACTTAATTATAACAGTGGTTTTGTTAGGAAAACAGTTAGATACTAAATTGCGCTGACCTCAACGGCTAACGTATCTAGCTAATCGCTACTGTTAGCACAACATTAACAGCAAGCTACAATGACGAGTAACAAAAATAAAACCGTAATAAGGTTTTAATGAAAATGTTTTACCTTTTCTAACAATCCCAGAATCCACAGCTTCAAAGTCCAGCAGGTACTGAAGACTGTTATCCGTTTCGCTGTCACCGTCCATGAGTTTTTTTCCCGAAAGGTCAAGGCCCGCCGGTCGCACACTCCGTCTGCGCATGCGCATCTCAACGACTGACCCCCTCCGTCCGCTCCCGGGAGGTTATAGTATGATGTGTTCTGACGTCACTCTCTCTCTCCCTGTAATTTATTTGGCTCGAAACACATATTAACAAATTGATCAGTGATGAACAACTACTCAGATCATTTACCTAAGCAGTGTGCTTTGTCAAAACGAAGTCTGTGTCCATTACACTGACATTCTGTTCTGCAATTGTTATTTACTTGTATTTTATAATTTGACTTTACATATTGCTGGGTGGTTTGTAAAGTTTACAATAACTAGTATTATCATTATGCTATATTTTCAAAAATATATAATAATCTCAAAAGTAATGCCTTGGAGTAGAAAATAGTAATGCTTTATTAAAATTTAAAACTAAAGTACAGTATTTGAATGTGTGTATTGTGTCTACTGTTTGCAAATATTTCTAACTTTTATTTGAATATTCAGTTTCCTACCATCTTCTCTTAAAGGGTAATTGCCAGGTATCCGGCCCTCCCCTTCGCACACACATGCACACAAAGAAAACACACAGTATAATTCACAGCCTCATTATAGTGAATAAATATTTATGCCATTTACACCATCAAACTTAGATTGCTAAAGATGAAGAACCTTTTGTTCTTTAAAGAACCATTTGTTATAGCTGAAGAACCATCCACAAAATAAAAAGGTTCTTTGACGTATGATGGTTTTTTAAAGAACCATGAAGACATCTGAAGAACCATTTAAGAACCATAATTTTTCTGAGTGTAAGACAACATTATTAAATAAACGCGTTTTTTTTAAAAGAATATTCCACACAAAGTACACTGAAACGTCACTTTGCTTGACCTGTGAATAGAGTCTGTACTGTGTGGCGCAGCAGGCGAGTCAGAGGAAATAACCACGATGACCGGACATGTGAAAGACGGCATCATGGGAAGTGGAGGATCCGCTGTTTCTACCGTCTAACCCATTTGGAGACCAGTCGGCATGTTCTGCCTTTTTCTCGTTCAGTTTTTCCACTTTGCATTTCTAATTTTTACTCTCCAAAACACCAGTGATATGACTGAATAGTCACTAATTAAGGTGAAGTAGCAGTCTAGCCGTTCTCAGCAGGGTTGTTATTCATTATCCTTTGTCACACACATTCGGACGGTGTTCCATGTTAAGTTACCCCTGCAGCTTAACCTTATACGATGTCTGCGCTAAATAAAAAATCTGAATCACAGCAAAGTTAAGAGGGTTTTTTTTTTAAATTTCATTTAAAAAAAAAACTGCCACAAAGAAAAGGAAGTGCAATTGCAGCAAATATGGGAAATCTCTAGAAACTGGATTGAGCCGATTGAATGTGATTCTCGCAGAATTATGGATCAGGGTTTCCTATTTTCTTTTCTTTCTTTTTTTTTTTGTTAAATCAGTTATTTGAGTTTCACGGGTGCGCCCGTAGCATACAAACAGATGCATCCTAACGAAACTCAATAAACCAGCAGCTAAAATACAGTTATGAACAATGTTAAACGTTATTCTCAGAGAGAAATAAATCGATTCTGTCCCCGAAATCCAACTTTTGTGTTAGTTTCAAATATCTCTGAGCATCACGGGTAAAGTGTCCCACACTCTCTCTCCCCTGCCTACATTTAGTTTGCTGAAGTCTGGTCATCCTAATCTAACCCTTAATATTTATTTAGCTGCTGTACAGGAGTGCCTCCGGTGACGTTCGATGGAATACGTCATTGTGCGTCATTGTTACCATTTCCTCGCGACTCCCTTTGCACGTTTAACTTAATGCACGTGTCCTAATAACCACGTGGACTTATTACGGCCTCATAATGTCACTGCTCTGATTAATTCCCGGGACCCAGAGAGCTTTCTGTTCTCTCGACGCGATTATCTAATGCGCTCTGCGCTCGCAAGGCGCATGCGTGCTGATAACCAGCTGCTAGCAAGCCGGGGCAGCTGAATCAGAGATGAAATTTGAATTGTGAGATGTCGACTTTCAGTTACTTCCGTGTTCGCTCACATTCCAACGGAAACGGAAAATAGTCTCACCCCTCAGGGATCCCAGTTCCTCTTAAAGTACTGTTAACCTTATAATGCCAAACACAGCTGACCAAGAGCGTGAGGATGGCCAGTGGTGAAATGAAACACAATACATTTACTGAGTGAACAGGTCATCAGCCTCACAGGGCAAACACCGACGACCACTAACACTCACCTTCACACCTACGACCAATTTTAGAACCACCAGTGAACCTAACCCCACTAACTGCATGTCTTTGGACTGTGGAAGGAAGCCGGAGAGAACCCACACAGACACGGGGAGAACTCCACACAGAGATGCTGGATTCAAACCCAGGACCTTCTTGCAACAGTGCTAACCACGAAAACCACCCTGCTTCCTTAAATATGATAAATACTTCTATAATATGAAACTTTAAACATTTTACAAATATTGTAGGGCTACATTGTGCTTCGTGCCATCTATTATAAGCGTTTAGTTTGCTGAATCATTATTACTGAAATTACCCAGCAGTATGTAAGTCATGACGTTTTTTCCTCCGTGGGTTGATCATCTTGTCATGTGAAAACTCTCTGCTGATGCTCTATCAGGAGGTGGCTCGTGGTTTTAACGTCATATCTCTGTCCTCTTGTTTACACCTTCCTATACGTGAAAATATATTTTAGCTGGATTCAGAACCAGCTTCCGGCTAGTGTTTGTGATCATGAGCGTCGCGTGGAGCTGTGGAGCGTGTCCGGTCTCCTTTAGGTGCCGTTTATCTGCCTTCTACTGATTTCCGCTCGTTAGCGTCTCGCCACGGTCCCGCAGCGATGTGCGGAAAAGGGGACGAGGCGCAGGACGACTGCGGCTCCCGGGAGGAGTGGACTCTACTGTTCTGGACCTCCGTGGCCGTCGTGGTTCCGGTCATCATCACGCTGTGGTGCAGCGCACAACGCTCCAAGAGGAAATCGCACATGAAGGATTTCTTTCGCAAGAGCAAGCACGGCTGGCACTACACCGACCTGTTCAACAAGCCCACCTACTGCTGCGTGTGCTCCCAGCACATCCTGCAAGGCGCTTTCTGCGACTGCTGCGGCGTGTGCGCCGACGAGCAGTGCCTGCGCCGGGCCGACCGCAGCCTGTCCTGCAAGGAGATCATGGCCCCCTCCAGCCCCGAAGGAGCCATGGAGCATCGCTGGGTCCGCGGAAATGTGCCTCTGGCCAGTTACTGTGCTGTATGCAAGCAGCAGTGTGGGACCCAGCCGAAGCTCTGCGACATCAGGTAGCGTAGCTGGACGAGAACCGCTGAAGGGATGCAACAGATGTGCAGCCGTGTTTCTGCAACCAAAAGCCTCTTTTTACACCCACGAGTTAAAAGAAAAATGATCAAGTTTCCTGAGTTAGAGCTGGATGATAAAAGACCTCACTCTTTACTGTGGTTATTTAGTCTTTTTTATATTTGTAGATTGGTTTTTAATCACATCGATATATTCTTCTTTAGAATTTTAAATCTGGGTTTTCTCACGACTCAACATGACTTTAGGGTTTACATGTAATAACGGAACCACCTCTAATGGGCTCCTGCTGCTGTTCAACATAGCAAATTTCAATCTTAAAAGACCCCACCTCAGCATGACACTCATCCCCCGCTTTGTGAGCAGTTCAGGGTCTTCTTTTCATTGGCAGTATTTCTTTTTATGTGCTTCATCACCTTTCTTATAGTTTCGCTCCCCCTGCTCCTCCTTCAGGTGTGTGTGGTGCCAGACCACAGTGCACGATGACTGCATGGAGAGCTTGACGGATGGAGACGTGTGCGACTTGGGCGAGTTCCACAACCTCATCATCCCCCCTCACTACCTCTACCGTGTCAACAAGCTGCGCCGCAGGCACCCCGACGAGTACAGCAAGGTGTTGAAGTCACGACTGGCCTCGTCATAGTGCTCCTACGTCGGGTGCTCCGGAGATGTTTTAAAAATGCGTTTTCTGCTTGTATCTTGTAGCTCGGCTCTTCCTGTGGCAGCGGCTGGACTCCAGTGTTGGTCTTGGCTAACACGCGTAGTGGGAACAACATGGGGGAGGTGCTGCTGGGGGAGTTTCGCACCCTCCTCAACCCGGTGCAGGTCAGCTTGCAGCTCGCCTGCATCTTTTGTCTCAGTGAGAGCAAACTTTGTCATTGCTCTTTTTCAGATCCTGGAACTAATCTTGTTTTCTGCTTCACCTCCAGGTGTTTGACTTATCTCAGCTGACTCCTTCCAAAGCCCTCCAGCTGTGCACCCTCCTCCCCCCCGGCAGTGTCCAGGTGCTGGTGTGTGGAGGTGATGGCACAGTGGGATGGGTGCTCGATGCCATCGATGCTATGAAGCTAAAGGTGAGACGTCTCTGCGCTCAAGAAAAAAGAGCGATCTTTCTTTTACACATTACTTCTTCGCTTTGACACTTTTCTACTTTCTTTTGTCAGGGCCAGGACCAGTTCATCCCCAGGGTGACCATCCTGCCTCTGGGGACAGGAAATGACCTCTCTAACACTTTAGGCTGGGGAGCTGGCTATGCTGGAGAGATCCCCGTGGAGCAGGTTCTCCGTAACATCCTCGATGCTGAAGTGGTGAAAATGGACAGGTGAGCGGTGTTGATACTGATGACAGGTACTCCTCAGGATCAGTCAGAAATGCCTGAACAGACTGATCAGGTTCACCAGTCTTTTTAAAACTGTAGTCTCTTAGGTATTTGGGGAATTAAAACACCCTGTGTCCTGTGTCTTTGGCGACTATATCTATACAAAAGCGGTCAGATGTGTCTTCTAGTTGACGGCTAGTGTTTACATTTTCTTTCTATATTAGGAAATTAATTGGTGAGTCACTTTGACCATTGTCGATCATCAACATCATGATCATCCACTAGCTAACCCCTAAGATGTACCCTACTTTATTGTCCTTTTTGAGTTGAATAGGATCCATACCTTTAACCATAACCATGAACTCATCAGGAAAGTATTTACTAAGGTCATAAATCAAGGGGTACAGCGTTTGTTATTCTCGTAGAAAACTTAAACCTCGGTTTCTGGCACAATTTAGCCTCCTTCCAGAGGTACTTGGGTGAGAGGGTAAAGTACGAAAAGGTCAGAACTCCAGCAACCGTTGCTGAATATGAAAAAACTTCCACATCTGATTTGCAGTGTAAATGACTACAAGCCCACACCACTGACTGAACATGAGCTACAGCCACCTGATGACGACCCTACAGAAGGCCCCAAGCTGAAACATGTTACCCAATAAATCAGATGTGGTCAAATGCGTCTCACTTGACCTCGAGAAGTGGTTTGAGTGGCTGGGTCACATTGTGTCCTCATGGTTGTTTACATTGGATTTAATGTTTTCCACTTGTGATCTGATGTCACAAGCTGCACTTTCAAAAGCATGTGAATTACAAATGAAAAGGACATTTATGTTTTATCATTTACGCTTAAAAATTTAGAGCTGTGTAATGTTATTACAGTCAGCATGAGTACTGAGACGTGAGGAAATGTAAATAGTCCAAATAGAAATAAAACTTTGATTCCTGAAATCCAACGTTTTGACCCGTTTGTGTTTGTTTTCATTCCGCTAAACACCTTCATGATTATTTTCAGATGGAAAGTCCAGGTAGCATCAAAAGGCGTCTACTTTCGTAAACCAAAGGTGAGTTTTTTCTCTCTGTGCTGATTGATGAACACCGATGTCTTTCGTGACATGTCAATGCCTGACCCGCGGAAGCACTCAGCTGTACTATAAAGCAGACGCTGGATTTCCTCCTCAGGTTCTGTCCATGAACAACTACTTCTCTGTGGGGCCCGACGCTCTGATGGCGCTCAGTTTCCATGCACACCGTGAGAAAACGCCCTCCTTCTTCTCCAGCCGCATCATCAACAAGGTCCGTAATTTGAATAAACAAAGCAGGCTCAGGGTTTAAATATGAATGCAAAAACCTCTTAATCCTGTAACTGTTTTTGTTATTTTTGTTGTTTTTTTGTAGAGACATAAAGATGCAGCTTCATTTTGTAGTAATGAGTACTTTCCTCTTCCCACAGGCTGTGTACTTCCTGTATGGCACCAGAGATTGTTTAGTGCAGGAATGTAAAGATCTGGATAAGAGGATCGAGGTACGGTGGACTTGTGCACGTGATGAAGCATTATGCAAATTTTGTTTTAAGCTCATAAAGAGAATCCGAGTCACTTTAAGTCACTGCCATATCAAGCTTTCTCTATAAATGTGAATTGGTTGTCCTGTGACTTCAGCAGGGGGCAGAGAAACCAGTGTCTCATCTAGAGATGGACCGATCCGATATTACGTATCGGTCCGATACTGGCGTAAATTACTGGATCGGATATCGGAGAGAAATAAAAAAAATGTAATCCGATCCATTAAATATCAAAAAAGCACCTCACAAAACTTGCGACATGGCGTAACTCGGCTCATAACCGTAGCATGTCGGAGCAGTGTGCTCACGTGATAGAGCGGCTGTGTGTATTTGTTTTTTGGTTTTTTTGCTGGGAGTTTGCAACCCTGTTAGTTAGGTTGCTTAATATTTCTGCTAAGGACTCTTTAAAATACCAGAATAGGGAGGATAGAGCAGGTTTAAATTTATTAGATTGATCAGTTTTGCTGAACTATGAAATATTTTGGGTGCAGTTGTGTTTTTTTTACATACAGGTATAACAGAATAGCTTTAGTGTTGTTGTTTATTTAAACTTGAGTATGATCTTATACAAAATGCAGCAATATATATAAAAAAAACTGTTTTATTGATTAAAAAACACGATATCGGATTCATATCGGTATCGGCAGATATCCAAATTAAAATTAAAACAGCGTCTGTATATAAGCCGACTGGTCCCAGTGTTGCCAAGTCGGTCCAAAAGCTTCTGATGAGACATGAAAAGAAAGTTCCAAAATACAAACATGTGAATTTACTTTAGAAATAATTATCTTCACACAGGATTTGAATCCTTCAGTCCTCTGCTCACTTGCGATTAGTCAGAGTCTCCTGTCACAGAGCCCAAAGACGCTGTGCAGTAATCCAGTTCTTTATCAGATCCCGTACAGTTTGCTGAATGGGTGTTTAGATGTTTTTGGTGCTGTTATGTAGCCAAGCTTTAATAAAAATTCACACTTGTCTTGATTACACTTTAATGAAAGTGCAAAGGTTAAAAAAACAACCTGACAGCTTTTCAATTATAGGTTTCAACATTTCGGAATCAAGAAGTGTTAATTACTCAGCTTTGCAGGTGTAAAGATGTTTATTTTAACTTTAGTAAGAGCCTTGTTTCCAGTGCTGCCAGTAATAATGCTAATCTAATTAATTTGTTTATTTAATGTGTAAAAACAAATTAGATATTTTATAGTCTGCACTGTCTCATTTTTCTTACCTGGTTGATGTTTTCTATGTTTTGATCAACGTTTTCAGACATATTTGCCCATTTTGAGGTGGTTTTACTGACAAATGTCTTGATCAGTGTGTATCGTAGCTCCAGCTGTTTAATATAAGACATTGTAAGAGAGATCCTTATTAAAAAATGTTTTTATAACACATAAAGATTTGTGAAACATTTATGTGTGTTTGCATGTGTTCCTGCCACAGCTGGAACTGGATGGGGAAAGGGTGAAGCTTCCCAGTTTGGAGGGCATCATAGTCTGTAACATCGGCTACTGGGGCGGAGGCTGCAGGCTGTGGGAGGGTATGGGAGATGAACCGTGCCCCCCTACCCGGTAGGTCATTTAAGAGCATATTGGTCAGGAAAATATAAACGGTCCATCTGGCACGGACTGCTTCAGGTTACCGGTACTATGGAAAGTAAACATGCTATTTCCTGTCTCTGCAGGCTGGATGATGGCCTGTTGGAGGTGGTGGGTGTATTTGGCTCCTTCCACTGTGCGCAGATCCAGGTCAAGCTGGCCAACCCTGTACGGCTGGGACAGGCTCACACTGTCAGAGTAAGGCTTCCTGTTTACCTCATTTACTGGCCACGCAGAACGACAGTAATTACTTTTCACTGCCATTCGCCTCAATCCAATCTAATTGTGACTAATCTGATTAGGCTTTTGTTACTGAGCTCCTGCATGTGTCCATTTACCCTCCATTGATTTCACCTTCATTCATTCTCCTTTTACATTGTGACATAAAGAGCGTTCATTAAAAAATTCACTGTTAATTAAGGCCTTCACACACCAAGCATGTAGTGAAAAAGCAATGCGTTATTGCAGAATAGATACCCTGATGCATGCTTTTGAACATATTTCATGATATCAGGGAGTAAGTTGAGAATAATTAATCTTGTGCATTTTTTGTAACACAGGAAATATTCGCACAGATTTTACACACCTGGTGTGTAAAGCCTTAAGATTACAGCAGCTACTTTCAAACATCATTTTGTAAAAACTATAAATGCACACACCTGCGTGTGGATTTGCCTTTGCTGCCAGAGCGTACCCACAACAACAAACTCATTTTACTGGTATTTGAATACCTCACATATTTAACTACATAAATATTGTAACTGTGGTGATATTTTGTACGCAGGCAAAAAAAAGTCCAATGTCCAAAACTTTTACGGTTTATTTATCCAGTTTGGCAAGCAACAAACAAAGATCCATTTTATGTTGTTTCCTGCTGCTTCTCCAGCTCTGGAAAAAACCACAGGCCCACCCCAGTGCATGCTGGTCCTATACTAGTCCTTTTACTTACAGAAAATGTCCTTACAGTTCTTCCTGTCTGACTTACAAAGATACAAAACAAAAAATTAAGCAATTATTAACCTAAAAATAAACCTTGTAAATAACCCAAGATAAAAAGTAAACCAAGAACAAAAAAAAAAGAAAAAAAAGAATAAATGGCTCCAGCACTGCACAGATTTTACATGCCTGCTGTGTAAAGCCTTAAGATTACAGCAGCTACTTTCAAACATCATTTTGTAAAAACTGCAAAGGCGCACCTGCGTGTGGATTTGACTTTGCTTCCAGAGTGCACCCACAACAACAAACTCATTTTACTGGTATTTGAATATCTCACATATTTAACTAAATACATTTTAAAAGCATCGCTGCTAACTGAGGGTGTAGGTAATGGAGGAACAGAGTTATAGATGAGAAGAAAAATAATCTATATCAGTAACATTTTTTGTTTTGTTTGCTCTCACAGGCTTCAATCAGAAGAATTAGAAATAAAGCTTAAAATACTGCTATTAATGGCCAAATCCAGTGTTTGCCTAAGCTTGCTCTGAAGCCCCCTGGTGGACTCTGAAGGTACTTTAGGTTGGCACTTACACATACCTTCCAAAAAAAAATTAAAATAAGAGAATACATATAAAATCTTTCATATAAAAAATAAATACTGATTTAAAAAACAGGCTGTTAATGGCGAGGAAAGCTTTAAACTGGACTGTTGCCAATCTGATCTGAAATAAAGTTGTTAAAGGAAAAAAAACACAACAAATAAAAAAGAACAAAGATGAAAGTTACTGATTTTAGTCTCACGTTGAGTTGTTATTATTAAAGGTAATAAAGTAAACCTTGTCTGAGCTACACATTTGTATTATTGGATTCTACTGGAGTAGCTTTGCATTAATCACAGTTCAAAATAAGTCTTATTTATCTTATACATGTCTCCCTATAAGTCAACTTTCTTCTGATTGGCTGTCTCTCCTAAACAGAAGGTTTGTACATCTGTGTTCACATCTGGAGCTGTGTGCCTGTGTGCTATATATGGTCATCTACAGAGCCAATAGTAGAAAAAAAACCTGAAACAGTGATCACTTTTATATACATAGATTTAAAAATTTGGTCGTGTTTAGCATGAGCACCCACTGTTGCACCAGTATGTATACTTGATCGCTATTTAGACTGTGAATGATTGGCCTAAGCTAACCTATAGGCCTATGTATGATTTAGCTAACATTTTTTCATTGTGCGCTGCTCTTCCATCTCCAGCTGGTTCTGAAGAGCTCCACGATGCCCATGCAGGTGGATGGAGAGCCGTGGGCGCAGGGTCCCTGCACCATCACCATCACCCATAAGACCCAGGCTTTTATGCTGTACCACAGCGCAGAGCAGACGGACGATGATGACGATGAAACCAGCGCCTCTGAGACGGAGAGCCCAACTCCTCACGACTCACCCAGGGCGGCGGGGCCGGCGTCTGCTCGAGCGTGACCCGCCGCAAACATCGTGTGACGTGAAGCTCTTGTTATCCTCGTTACTTACTTAGTTTGCATTATTCCCTCCTTTGCATTAGTCTTCCTTCTCCGAGGTCTTTGTAGTCACATCGTGATGATTAGAACAGACGTTTTAATTTAGAATCTTTTCAGAGAGCTCACAGACGGAGAAAGATTAGTTTGTTACTGAGCTGGCGTGAATTGTTTCTTCGGTCTTTTATCTACACACTCCCCTTTTAACTCAGAGCTCAGGCAGTCTCTCCTTGGACAGATTGCTCTTTAATTGCACTGATCCTCCGTGCCATAGATAATCTATAGACGACGATACTGTATTTATTACTCTGTATTTACAATTGAATTCTCCGTGCTGCCCTGCAGGTATCGGTGAGCCATTCTAACAGGTTGCCCAGGTTTAACCGACCCCTAAAAGCCATGTTTAAATCAACAGCAGGTGATGACGTTGTGTTTGTTGAGAGAACAGCAGGTTGCGCTGTCTGGTTGATGCTTTATTTCCCACAAATTTTGTATTCCACAAAAAGCACAAAAAGTGAAAGACCTGCGTTTGCTGGCAGGCCCCAGTGGCTCATGTGTCAAATGTGTTATCGTCTTTGAGGATCCTCATCATCACACTGCTGGCAGGTTTTTAGTCACACAGGCTTTGAAATGTGTGGACTCGATGGGGCATGGACTCTGATAAAACCGCAGTGTGTTATCAATCAGCAGACATCAGTGTTTACGTTAAAGTGCACTGCCATTTGCCAAACTGTTAAATTATAATACGTTAAAGTGTATAAACTATGGTTGACATTCCTGTATGAGCTACAGGAAATAGCCAGAGTTGCTGAGGCCTGTTTGGGAAGTACTGCCAAGTAGACGTAGTTTAGTGGGTCCATTTTACCTTCATTTTGAACCGTTGTTTTTCCTCTGTTTTGCTCCTGTTTACATATTTTGTGTTGCACTTTTTGGCATTTACACTGATAAGTACCTTAAACTGCCCAGGATGTTGACCTTTGATGTTACTGCCGATCGTCGTAATAGCTGCTGTTGAGATTATGCTCCCATTAACCCAAAAGTCACCACAAGGTGGCCCACTTAAGACAGTATTTCTGTAGACAGGATAATAGAGTGGTCTTCATATATATTAGGATCATTACACGCATGTACGTATCCATGTAATGTTCAGGTGAAATACTAATTCCTGTTTATTCTGTACTCAGCAGAATTTCTGCAGGAGGACTTTTGTGTTTCTGTGTTTTGCTGTTTGAGGTGGTCTGCTGCTCGGAGTCATATCAGGAATGTCTGTAGCTGTTAGTTTGCGCTTCGTTTTGAACCCGGAGCTGCTCCGAAGGCTGAACAGGGATACGAGTTTTGCCGCGCGATGCCTACTGCTTTCAAAATATGCACCTCCCTGGCACATAACCAAACCGCATGGTTTCATCGCCCTCTATTTGTTTGGCGAATGTTGTCGCTCAAGGACACCTGCTTGAACTTTTACCTTGTCATCCATGTTTACCAGAGCTGTCTGTGTTGCACTGAATTCTGCTTAAATGTGACAGGGTTTTAAAGCCACTAGGTCCTTAGCCACGCTAGCATCATGCTTCTAGTATATTTATAGAGAAAACACCCTGCTTTTTGTAGGAGTCACTACAGTTTTGTAGAGAAAGTCATCTCCAATGAATCCTAATGTTTGGTTGATTTAGAGCACTTCAGATCATGATGTGATACTCAAAACAGTAAAACTAAGTGTCTGTCTCAGGCTCAGCTACAGTTTTCAAACTCTAAACACAACCTGAGAAATGTTAGCATGATGCTAATTCGATATATACTTTTGTTTATAGAGAATTAGCATAATTAACATAGCAGGAACAACATGCCAACATCCTTGCTTGGAGCTGAATACAGCTGCAGTGGGTGTCATGGCTGCATCAGATACACATATTTTCAATTAAAATTTAATAAATGTGAATTAGACTGCTGATTCCACCAGCGTTTCTGTAACTTTAGCTCAATCTTACCAAACATATAAAATATGGACATTGGTACTGTCATGTCACCTAAATTTTAGCATTTGGACTTTTTGGTTATTTTGAGCCAGAAGTCGCCATATTTGTATGAGAGGGTGAAGTGCCACATTTTTAGCTTGATTACCAAGTTCTGTGTGTAAATACTGTTACATTTAATCATTAATTATTATTAGTATTATTATTATCATTGTCTTGCTCTCTTCCACAGCAGTTCTTTGTCCTGTCTTCCCCCCCATACACCTAGCTGCTCGCTGCAGGTTTCTTCCTGTTAAAAAGGAGTTTTTCCTTCCCACTGTTGTTGTGCTTGCTCATAGGGGGTCGACTCAGTTTTCTCTGTACACTTTAGGATCTTTACTGTTGAATCTATAGTGCTTTGTTTTGAAGCGACTGCTATCTAGATTTGGTTCTACATAAATAAAATTGAATTAAATTATTAATTAAATATGAGTGCAACATGCAAAAAACAGCCCTTATTATGACATGCTTTTTAAAAATTATTATCATTGTTATTTATTTACAAATTAAAAAAAATATAATTAAGTTATAAAAAGTGAAGCACAACCTTCTTGGATGGACTGTAGCAGCAAGCTAAGTTATATGTAAGATAACTGCAGTGAAAAGATTACATGCTCAGTGTACATTTTCCATCGCATTAATCCGATTATCTGAGGTAAAGTCTAGAAGACAGCGATTGTTTACAGCCGTCTGTGTTGACATCCACCTGTTACAGCGCTAACAAAGCAAACTATAAGCCTTAATAAAATTCACCCGCTGCACAGCTGTTATGAAACCCTCCACATTTTTTCTATCAAGCTGTGAACGTGTTTTCTTCTGCGGCAAAGCTGGACACTCGAACACGGCACTCTCGTTTGAATAGAGCCTCAAGTGGTCATTCAAGGAACTGCACTCCCTGTGATGCTAGCGCGGCTAATGAACTTGTTTGGGAGATATGACTGTGACATTAATTGTTGTTTTGAATTCTGCCAAGTCATAGCTTATAGTTTATTATTTATGAAGACACAGAACAGTATTTATTTAGAGTCTAAGGAAAATTGAGTGAAGCTGTGCAGCTGTCCATCACTGGGATTAGATTACTAGAGCTCAGCTCTTGCATTTGAAATTCAATTGTTACATTTCACTGTTGCTGTTGATATTACTTCGTTATTGCATATTTGAATATAGCTATTTCTTTTTGACATGGGTAAAATTATAATAATTATAAAGAGTGAGAGACATCTGCAGAAAACACAAAAATCACAAATTTTTATTACAAGATGACTCCATTAGAAAAACAACAGAAAAACTTTAAACACAGAAACGCCATCTGAGGGGGGGGGAAGCTTTTATCAAACAATCATGTCAAACAAAGCTGTTTACAAAAAGAATCGTAGCGAGGGTTTGATGGGTTACTACTACTACTACAGGTGAGAGAAACTCATTTTGATTGAAATGAATGTAATGAAGCGATCTTTTGATTTTGATGACATTCCCATAAATATTTTCATATATAAACCAGTCGTGTTTGTCTCTTTATTCACTTTTATATAGACATCTGAAAAGCAGCAGCCATGATCTCTGGTCAAAGATTACAACAGCAGCTACATACACACTAACAAACATGACACATGATGTTTGAATTCGTTAATCATTGACCAGTTTTGCAAACACTGATAAAGAGACAGTTTGAAACAGCAGCTACAACACTTACACTGTGTTTTGTGCTGACCTTTATTCACGTAATATTCATCTTGGATCCTTTTAATCATCAAATCATTATTTAAAAAGGAAACATTGGGTGTCATTTTTAAGGTTCTGATGTAAAAGGAGAGGATCCCAAACTCTTTAAGAAAAACAAAACTGATGGTCTCCACCAAGGCCAAAATCAAGTATTAATGCAAGTGTTAATCACACATCATCCAAGACTAAACAAAGCTGTAATAAAAATAATAATAATGATGATGATGATGATGATGATGATTGCACAGCACTTTTAAAGACAGAGTTAAAAGAGCGGTGTGGAACAGTTCAAAGAACCTGACCAGAAATCGGAGGCTAACTGCTCCAATAAGGTCTCAGCAGGTCTGTAATTCTACTACTACTACTAATAATACTAATACATTTTATTTGAAAGTACCTTTCAGAAGACTCAAGGACACTGTACACAGCAGAAAATTAGAAAGCAAGCATAAAAGCAGACAATTTACAAAATCATAAAACAGGGTTAAAATAGCAGAATGGAAAAGGTTACGTGGGATAAGCTATTTTGAACAGGTGAGTTTTGAGTCTAGACTTAAAAAGAGAAAAGGAAGTGACATTTCTTATGTCAGGAGGAAGGGAATTCCAAAGTCAAGGAGTAGAGCAGCTGAAAGCCCTGATGGTGGCAAGATGAGGGGAGGGGACAGAGAGAGAAAGAGAAGAAGAGGATCTAAGACATCGAGATCGAAAGTTGATCTGAACCAAATCAGAGAGATATGGAGGGGAGAGATGATGAACAGCCTCACATTTATACAAAAGTATTTTAAAACTGATGCGATATTTGACCGGGAGCCAATGAAGCCGCTGTAGGACGGGGGTGATGTGGTGAATAGAAGGGGTCCTGGTGATAATACGGGCAGCAGAGTTCTGGACATGTTGGAGTAAGACCAAAAAGAAGTGAATTACAGTAGTCAATCCGCGAAGTAACAAGGCTATGAACAAGAATGGCAGTGGCATGGTGGCATGTGGAGTGAGACAGTTGCACAGTTGGAAATATGCAGACTGCGTGACATTATTGATGTGTGAATTCAAAGATCAAGTTAGTTAAGTATGAGTGGAGTTGTGTGCCAACTACCTTATCTAATACAGGAAAGAGACTGGCTTTCTAGAGCTTTAAATGTTGTTAATAAATTTTAAATTAGAATCCGATAGATGGTAAATGGTCTGTATTTGTATACTGCTTTACTTGGTCCTGAGCACCCCAAAGCGCTTTACACTATACACAATCATCCACCCACTCACACACTGGTGATGGCAAGCTACAGATAAGATATATACACAAATCTCATAATGCATTCAGGCTTCAGATTAAAATCAAATATTGGTTCTACTTCTTCTGATTTCTATGAGGACGTGAGTGTTGTGTTCCTGAAGAAGCATGGCCTTTGGGTTTATCTTTCTTGGTGAAATCAGATCCTTTCCCGGATCCTGAAGACTTATGCCCTCCAGCAGCGCTGTGCGGCCTCCTGTCTGGATCTGAAGTAAAACATAGTAGTTAGTCAGTTGTCTTTAATGTAGGATGCACACCACTTGCTAAACAAATCAACAAACAAATAACACTCCTACACAGTTTTTATGTACAAAATACAATAATCCCTTAAAACTATACACCGCGCACAGAGTGAGGTTTGTACCCAGAGAGCTTCTTGTTGTATGTGTCCTGTTTATTTAATCAGTGGAATCGTGTTGTTATTCATCATCTGATTGGCAGGCTGACATTTTTTATAACACGTGAGGATTTGATTCATACTTGATTTCTCAGAAGAAGCATGGCCTTTGGGTTTATCTTTCTTGGTGAAATCAGATCCTTTCCCAGATCCTGAAGACTTATGCCCTCCAGCAGCGCTGTGCGGCCTCCTGTCTGGATCTGAAGGAAAACACAGTAGTTAGTAATTTGTCTTTAATGTAGGATGAGCGACACTTGCTAAACTAATCTGATTTAAATTTATTAAATATCAAAAAGTAGAGAAACCCATGGTCAGATCAACAAGCTGGAACCTTTTCTGGAAGCATTTTTGTTTTAAATATCACAATATAGTTTGCACACAGTTTGTCACATTTGACCTCTCACCTCACTTCTACATTTCACATCTGCTTTCCTTTCAAGTTGACTGCAAAATGTGCTTTAATTTAAAAAGAAATACTGAAAAAAAAAATACTGTCAAGAGAAACAGAATGAGCTGATGATTTATGCTGCGGTGCACAATTATATAAGCCCACGTTTTACATGGCCAGTTATTTACAAATGAATACATATTAGCCATTAGCTCCTATATAGTTCTTAAGTACAAAATGGAATAATCCCTCAAAAGTAAACACTGCCCAGAGAGTGAGGTTTGCACTCAGAGGGCTTCTTGTTATGTGTACTGTTTATTTAATCAGTGGAATAGTGTTGTTATTGATCATTTGACTGGCAGTCTGACATTTTTTATAACACATGAGGATGTGAGTGCTTCATACTTGATTTCTCAGAAGGAGGATGGCCTTTTGGTTTATCTTTCTTGGTGAAATCAGATCCTTTCCCGGCTGGTTTACCTCCTCCAGGAGCACTGTGCGGCTTTCTGTCTTGATCTAAAGGAAAATATGCAAAACGTCTTCCACAGTTAGTCGGTTGTCGTTAACACAGGAGATGTGCAACGCGTCCACTAATCTGAACTGTACACAGGCATACTGAATTACATTTTGTCAGGTTTAAAATGAACAGTGTGAACGCTAGAATTACTATAAATGTTTGATTTGTGAAGTTGCTTTTAAAGGCACTGTAGCTGACACTGAAATGTTTGTGTGGGTTGCCATGACAACACCAAAGTGAATCTGAGATCGTTATTGTTTTCTATTTGTTTTCTTTATTTGCTTCTCATGCTTGTGTACATTTGCAGTAGGAAAGGTAATCTATGAATCCAGTGATATATCCTGCTTATAAGAAATGTTTCTGTTAAAATATTATTGTGAAGTAGTCACTTCCTGTGAGTTGCGGGAACCGGAAGTTGTGCGCGGGAGAGACAAGACAGAACGGTAACACGGCGGACTTTTCGGAATATACAACTTTTCTACTGCTGGTTTTACAAGGCGTACACGGTAAAAAATCATTATGCTGTTATTTGTTTAACACTTGTGCACCTTGTGAAAGGAAATAAGTGGCTGAGATGAATATCATATGTGCTATCGATATTATTTTACTTGTTTCTAGTTTTCACGGTGCTCCATGATTGTGAGAGGAATAAAAGAATTGTGGACATCAGTACGAAGCGTGGATTCTTTCGACCAGAGTAGAAACAGTGAAAACGTGTCCCAATCCATCTGGAGGCTTCGGTGTGCAAAGCTCTTCTCATCCTGCAGCAAGCTACAGGTCTCGGTTGCTTCTCATCCTGCAGCGAGCTACAGGCTTCAGTGGACACGTTGCTTTGCATTTTGTGACAACCAATCGGGAGCTGCAGATTCAGCGGACACTCCAAGAAGCGGTTTCAGGCTAAAGCGTGAGTCCTCAGGCTATATTGCGCAGTTATTATGCCTCATGAGTTGATGGATAGAACATGAGCTACAAATTTGCTGTAATGGACAAGGAATTAATAGTGTTCAAATTTCGGATTGTGTAAAAAAAAAAAAAACAAACAAAAAAAAAAAAAGAAAAAAAAAAAAGGACAATCTGTTGAAGTTCTGGAAATTATTGTTGTTTTCTTACCTGTTGCTTGCAAGCTTCATGAAGGCTGAAACTGAAAATTTATTTGCTGTCATACGTAAGAATCTAAGCTAAGGTTCCTTTGTGTTAATTTTAATAATTCTCCGCCTATTACATCCATTCTTGTAATTACCTTAGTTATCTTGTCCTCTTCATAAGATACCCCCTTTAAAGTCTGAAAATGTCTAAAGATGGTCATAGTCACCCTGATGTTATGTCAGAAGTACAAGATGCAGGGGATTTGGAAGAGGAAAAAAGTGTAGTGTCTGAGAAATCTGAGACAAAAACAAGAAAATCCTCTCGTGAAAGGCGATTAACGCCAAAAATGCAGGAACTGAAAGATCAAGAGTTAACTCAAAAGGAGAAGAGGTTCAAAGCAACATACGAGAAATGGAAAAGCAACGTAAGAGACATTCGCACAAAGTTAAAGCAAGTATGCTCTGAGAGTGACATGTATGATATGATGGATGAGGCTGAGAAGCTTGAGTCTGAATTAAAGGAACAGTATGACAGAATTCGACTCCAAACCTCACCAAGTCAAGAATTTCGAAGAAAGATCGATGCATGCTCAGCCGTGACGGCCGACTTGCTGCAGCTGATGAGAGTACGTCTGACTGAAGATGAAGGTGAGTTTGACACGGTGGCGGAAAGATCAAGGTTACGCATGCTACTTGATAATGAATATGCTAGGTCCATATATGGATCCACAGCCTCCAGAGTTACTGCACCCAGCTGTCACAATTCTAACCATCTCTCAGAGTCACCTAGCATTCCAGCTATGAGAGCGGAAGTGGCTGCTCAGCTGGCTGCAAAGAAAGCCGAAATTGATATGGAAGCTGCCATCGAAGCTCAACGTCAGCAGTTGAGAAAACTTGAAAATCAGAGGGACATTGATGTAATTCAGGCAAAGCTAAATGTCTACACTGAAGAAGAGGGAAGGGATGGGACACGCAGTCCTCCATTCAGCAAAGTGAGTGATGCACACCCCTTCGCTCACCACATCCCAGATCAAGAACGGCAGGTTGTGCAAAACGAGACATCATTGGTCCAATCGCTACAAGAGTCATTAGCTCTTACTCGCTTGCCAACTCCAGAACCTTCTGTATTCTCGGCGATCCTCTGAAGTTTACAGAATGGAGCATAAGCTTCAAAGCCCTCATAGAGAGACGATGCTCTGACCCTGCAGACAGGCTATTCTACCTGCAAAAGTACATAGCAGGTGAGGCAAAATCCTCTCTTGAAGGCAGCTTCTACAGAAAAGATGAAGAAGCCTATCAACAAGCATGGGATAGGTTAAATGCTAGATATGGCCATTCCTTTGTAGTGCAGCGGGCTTTCAGAGATAAGCTAAATGGGTGGCCGAAGATTGGTGGAAAGGAATACCTCAAGTTAAGAGATTTCAGTGATTTCCTCCAAACATGTAGTAATGCCATGCCTCACGTAAAGGGCTTACAGGTTCTTAACGACTGTGAGGAGAATCAGAAAATACTAGTCAAGCTTCCTGATTGGGTGACATCTAGATGGAACCGTTATGTCACAGAGCAGCTAGATCGGGGCAACGACTATCCAAGCTTTCATGAGTTTGCTTCCTTTATCTCTAAGGAGTCACGCATCGCATGCAATCCAGTGTCATCCTACATGCCTTAAGGCACTCTGCAGAGGCACCAGCAAGAGAGATGAAGCGTTCAAAAGCAAACACGTTTGCCACAAATGTGAAACCCCCGATTCCATCAAGCTCCACCGCCAAATCTGACCCTGGTGAAATCAAGTTGGGAGATGCAGGGAAACCAAAGAAATGGACCACACCAACACAAAATTCCAATAATGGCCAGTGTATTTGCTGTAGTGAGAACCATTCCATACATAAATGCAAGAGGCTTATGGACATGTCTGTAGAGGATAAGAAAAAATGCATACTTGAAAATAAGTTGTGTTTTGCATGTCTAAAAAGGGTCACAATTCTAAAGACTGTAGGAACAGGGCCATGTGTGGCATATGCAGAAAGAGTCACCCAACGCCATTGCATGAAGATCGTTCTACAGCAGCATCAACACAAGGCGCAGTTGAAGAAAGTACGTTGTCATTATCATGTTGTGTGAGTGGAGGTGAAGGTGGGAGTACATCAATGATAGTCCCAGTGTGGATCTCAACACTTAGTGCTCCGGACACTGAAACCCTAGTGTATGCACTATTGGACACTCAAAGCAGTCACACATTTGTTGATCAGGAGGTGTGCGAAAAGCTACAAGCAACAATGGAACCAGTGAAACTTAAACTTTCCACCATGATGGGAGAGACTCAGTCGTGAAGAGTCAAAGAGTATGCAAGCTCAAAGTTAGAGGATTTTCCTCTAATGTTTCCATCAGTTTGCCTCCAGCCTACACAAGGGACTTCATTCCCCTTGACCGCACACATATTCCCACTTGCCAGACAGCCAACAAATGGAAACACCTTGTAAGCATGGCCCAGGAGATACCCCCGTTGATGGACTGTGGTGTTGGATTGTTGATTGGATACGACTGCTCCAGAGCGTTAATTCCAAGAAGGGTCGTCACTGGGGGTGACTATGAGCCTTATGCTATTGAGACGGATCTTGGTTGGAGCATTGTGGGAAGCGCACCACAGCGTGTGCAGGCTAAAGATGTGACTGGTTTTTGTCATCGAGTGTCTGTCAGAGAGGTGCCACCCATAACACCATTTGCTGTCATCAAGGCCCTGGAGTCTGATTTTGCAGACACAAAACCTGGTGACAGAAGCATATCTCAAGAAGATATTTGCTTCCTGCAGATCTTGAAAGACAGAATCCAACAAAATAAGGATGGTCACCTGGAGATGCCTCTCCCTTTCAAAGCACGTCCACATCTCCCAGACAACAAAGGGCTGGCGTTAGTACGGCTGAAGCATCTAAAGAGGAAGCTGGACAGAGATCCCAAATTCAAAATAGACTACGTGAGATTTATGGAAGGTGTCTTCAAGGATGGAGATGCAGAGAAAGTGGAAACCAAGCAGAGCTGGGGAAAGTCTGGTATATCCCACACCAAGGAGTTTACCACCCCAGAAAACCAGGAAAAATCAGAGTGGTTTTCGACTGCTCTGCAAGGTATGAAGGCACCTCCTTAAACGACCATCTGCTAACAGGACCTGACCTCACAAATAGCCTAACAGCCGTGCTGTGCCGCTTCCGTAAACATCCCATCGCAGTCATGTGTGATGTGGAGAAAATGTTCCACAGGTTTCATGTGAGCGAGGATGATAGAGACTACCTGCGGTTTCTCTGGTGGGAAAATGGAGACACAAACTCTGAACCCAGAGAGTACCGCATGAAGGTTCACCTGTTTGGAGCATCATCATCCCCTGGCTGCGCCAATTATGGCATGAAGCACCTTGCCAGCCAATGTGAGAAAGAGTACCCTCCGCAGCTAACTTCATCCAGAAACATTTCTATGTCGACGATGGTCTCATAAGTGTAGAGTCGGTGGGTAAGGCAATTGAACTGGTCAAAGAAGCCCAAGCCGTGTGTGCCAAAGGAAAGCTGCACCTTCACAAATTTCTCTCCAACAGCCGAGAGGTCCTTGACTCTGTCGATGTTGCAGAGCGTGCTACGGAGGTAAAGAATGTTGATCTTAATCACGAGGATTTACCAGTTCAAAGAGTGCTAGGTATAAGGTGGAATGTTGAAATGATAGCTTCTCCTTCAAGGTGTCACTTGAGGAGAAACCAGCAACGCGCCGAGGGATTCTCTCAATTGTGGCCTCCTTGCATGACCCTTTGGGGTTTCTAGCCCCAGTCATTCTTGAAGGGAAAAGAGTGCTGCAGGAGATGTGTCAGAGAGGCACAGGGTGGGATGAGCCACTACCCAAAGGCTTGAAGTTAAGGTGGGAGACTTGGATGA